CCCCCCCCCATCCCCCGCCATGGCCGACCGCACAGGTCCTCCTGCACTACGTCCTCCCCGGGCCCGTGCGCAAGGGCATCATCAATGACGATGGCTCGCAGCTGTCCTACCGCATGAACGGCATGGCCGAGTTCTTTGTCTCCATCGGCGCCGTGCTGGCCGCCCACTATGTCGGCATCTTCGACCTGACCTACCTGTACCGCGAGTTCGCCATGCTGGCCGTGGTGGCCGGCATCTTCGCCTTCCTGCTGGCCATCTACTCTTACGTCTACAGCGTGTCGGTTGACTGCCTGAAGTCCCACAATGGCAACTCCGGTACGCTGTCCATGTGGTGGCCCCCCTCCCCCGCCCACACGCACATGCACACGGGCATTTTGCACGCACCATGTGTGCCATATGCATCCGCATGCGCGCCGTCTAACTGGTGTCCCCCCTCCCCTCCGCGCCACCGTCACACACACACACACACACACACGCCACGCGCGAAACAGGTGTCTTCATCTACGACTTCTTCATGGGCCACGCCCTGACCCCCCGGCTGTTCGGCCTGGACATCAAGTTCTTCTGCGAGCAGCGCCCTGGCCTGATCGGCTGGGTGGTGCTGGACATTGCTTGCCTGCTGCAGCAGTACCGCACTTTCGGCGCCGTCACCCCCGGCATGGCCCTGGTCACCTTCCTGCACGGCTTCTACGTCTTCGACACCTTCCTCTTCGAGGTGCGTGCTCTGTCGCGTCACCATCCCGCCCCAGCACCTGGCCAAGGCTTGGCGCCGGTCCCTCGCTGACTCACTCTCGCATCTCGATCATCCTCCTCCCCCTCCCCCTTTGCCGGCCCCTCGCGTCGCCGCCGCCGCCGCCGCCGCCGGCCGCCACCACCACGCCATGCCCCCCTTCTCCCCATCTTGCAGGAGGCCGTCCTCACCACCGTTGACATCACCACCGATGGCTTCGGCTTCATGCTGTCCTTCGGCGATCTCTGCTGGGTGCCCTTCACCTATTCGCTGCAGGCCCGCTTCCTGGCCTTCGCCCCCGAGAGCCTGTCCAACATCTACTACCTGGTGTGCCTGGTGGTCGGTGTGGCTGGGTACCTGATCTTCCGCTTCTCCAACCTGGAGAAGCACTACTTCCGCCACCACCCGGATCACCCCCGGTCGAAGGGTATGTCGTGCAGACTGGCGGGCGACGGCGGCCGCGGCGGGGCCATGCACTCATGCTACGCGCGCCGCTCGCCCTCCCCCCCTCCCCCCTCTCCCTCTCTCTCTCCCTGCGCCCCTTTTTCTTGCCCACTCACCGGCCCCCCACCTCATGTCGCGCCCTCCCCCTCCCATCCCTCCCCCTCGGCACACACGCCGCGCACAGCCCTCAAGTTCATGCCCACCAAGAGCGGCAGCCGCCTGATCATCTCCGGCTGGTGGGGCATCGCCCGGCACATCAACTACTTCGGCGATTGGGTCCTCGGCCTGGCCCAGTGCATGGCCACCGGCTACACCCACATCATCCCCTACTTCTTCGCCTTCTACTTTGCCGGTCTCCTGCTCCACCGCGAGCGCCGCGACGAGGCCAAGTGCAGCGCCAAGTACACCGACGACTGGGACCGCTACTGCAAGCTGGTCCCCTCGCGCATCATCCCCGGCATCTACTAGACGCCGTCCGGGACCACCCCACCTTGTGCACCCGGTGTGCCCCATGTACCTGGCACATTTGGTATGGGCTCCTCCCCCGGCCCCCTGGCGGCCACTGCATGTGCATATGTGCATGTGTATGTGCGTGCGTGCGTGCGTGCGTGCATCCCGCCATTGCATCGTCTCTTGCCTGGCTGCCCGCTCCGGTCGCACAACGGGCTCGCATCCGTGCACACAGAATACACACCGAAGCCACTCTACTCCATGCCCCTAGTACTTGGTGCAGTGTGTACCCACACACATGCACGGGCCGGCCGAGCAGGCATGTAGAAGGGCGGAAAGGGGGCTGCCTCCGCGCCAAGCCGCTCGGACCGGCAGGCAACGGCCGCGCTGTGCAGCAGTAGGGAGGGAGTTCTGGGAAACAGCCACCGCTTCACCTTGCGATGGACCACTGCCTTGTGCCGAGGGGGGCGGAGAGAGAGCGAGCGAAAGAGAGAGAGAGAGAGAGAGAGAGAGAGAAGGGACAAAGGGTGGGCGAGCTTGCAAGCAGGCAGGCAGGCAGGCAGGTGGATGCGTATACGCCCCCGAGCCCGACACAGGTGCCAATACACACACACACACACACGCGCGCGCGGGCGCACGCAAAAGGACAACTGGAAAGGTATATGGTCGACCATGGCATGGGATGACAACAGGAAAGAAGGGAGACGCCCATCAAGGACTGGGACGAGCCCCCCTAGGGGGAGGAAGGGGCTCTCTGGGCGAGGGAGGCCGAATGGATGGAGGGGGGGAGGGGAGGAAGGGACGGGGAGCGGGACGGAAGAGAGGCAGAAGCGGCATGAGCAGCGATTGGGAGGAGGGTGCGCCGGTCAAGCAAACAAGTGTATCCCATCTCTCAGAGGCCCCCTCCGGTGCGTAGCCAGGAGAGAGGGGGAGACCCGTCCTCGGCTCGCGCGCGCGCGCGCGCGCGCACGGCGGCGGCAAGGAAGGGCCAGAAGAGGAGGAGAGAGAAAAAGGAAGAAGACGTGCCCCCTTTTATTTGAGGATGTGGGTGCGGGTGTATGTGGGGGGAGAGAGAGAGAGAGAGAGAGGAAATGGAAGCAGGAGCAGAAGTGGGTGCGGATGGGCCGGGGATGGACGGGCATATGCGTCCGTGGCGCGCACATGCCGCCCCCCGCCCCCCTGCCACCATTTTAATGAGCCGCCCCCCCGGCAGCCGACTCCTCGGTCAGGATGGCCACCCACGCGGCCAGCTCGGCCGGGGTGTCGGTCTGGAAGAAGCGCTGCTTGGCATTGGCCGAGGTGACCGACCCGGAGGCATCCGGCAGGGTGATGGAGAAGACATTCGGCCGCTTGGGGATGTCGTCGTGCTGGGTCACCAGGGCCCCGCGAATGGAGAACGACCCGTCCGGATCCCCGGACACCGTCTCCCCCTTGTAATACCACACGGACCCGCCACGCAGCAGATACCGCGCACGCTGCCACCGGCCAAAGGACTGGCCCCGCTTGGCCAGGATGCCCTCCAGCCGCACCGGCCCGGCCCCGGCCCCGGCGCCGCCCGGCCCGCCGCCACCAGCGCCATTCGAATAGAGCGACAGGGTGGAGGAAGACCCGGCCGGCCCCCCGTCGAAGGAGGCCAACCCGGTGGACGAGGCCACCGATGTCACCACCGGCGATGAGGGCCCACCGACCGGCGGGACAAACACCGTCCCCAAGGACGAGTCGAACCAGCCGAATTCCCCGCGCAAGGACCCGTACCAGCGCTTGGACGAGGGATCCTTCTTGAGGACGGTCACCCGGTCGCCGGGCTCGTAGGCCAGGTGCCCGGGGGTGCTGTCTCCTGAGCTGGACTGCAGTGGAATCCACTGCTCGACCTCGGTGTCCAGGGTCAAGCTGTTGTTGGAGCGCTGCCGGCCACCGGAGCGGCCGAACTGGTCCATGGATGACTCGCTCTGTGTGTGTGGGTGCGGGTGTGGGTGTGGGTGTGGGTGTGTGGGTGGGTGGGTGGGTGTGTGGGTGGGTGGGTGGGTGGGTGCACATATGTGTGCACACATGTGCGGACGTGCGCAGAAAGGCCGAAGACAAGCACGCAAGAGAGACAGGAAAAAAAAGAAGGCCAAAAGACAGCCGGGGCAGCAGTCCCCAGATCCCCGAACGGAGAACAGAGCCCCAGCGAGCAGCCATGCAACAGGTGTCAGACGGCGATTCAAGCAACCAAACCGGTCGCGGCCATGGCAGTGCACATCGGCCACACATGGGCCCCCTCCCTGCAGCATACGCACCTCGCCCTCCACGGCGGACTGGTGTGACGACCCGTCGCCCATGCCACCCGGGACAACCCCCTCGATGGTCAGCGGCTCGGCCTCGCTCACGAGCTTGGAGAATTCGCGCTCCAGCTCCTCGGCACGCCGGCGCAGTTCGTCGGCCAGCTTGCCTGGCCCCTCTTCGGCCCGCTCGGAGAAGGACTGCATCATCTTCTGCCGGACCAGCAGCAGGATCAGGTCCGAGTCGGGGCAGCCCTGCCCACGAAGGGTGTGTGACAGAGACAGATACTCCGACCGGTCGGTCGTTTCGATGAAGGAGTCCCCATCGTCCGAGAGGGACAGCTGCACATTGACATTGGTCATGGCCGCCGCCAGGAGACTGGTCTTCTTGGTCAGGGTGCCCTTGTTGCCGGCGCTCCCGCGGTTGGGCATCGTCAAGTAGGACCCGGTGGAGCTCCGCCGGCTGAACTGCGAATCGTCATCGCCGGCGCCCTGGTCCCCGGCCCCGGCGCCCCCGGCCCCGGGCCCACCGAAGGCCGAGTCCAAGCTCGGCCGCTTGTTCTCGCCGGCCTGAGACCGGCCCATGGTGCCGAAGAGGTGCAGGGCCGACGTGTGGCGGCGCGATTTCTGCCCACATTTCGCGGGTCCAGAGACGTCGGGTCAGCCGCAGGCGGAGAGGAGCAACAAGGGGGGGGGGGGGGGGGGAAGAAGGCCCACGCTTGGCAGGGGGGGGAGGGGCAAAGAGAAGGAAAAAAGGGCCCACCAGAACGCACCATGCGCAGGGTGCCGGCATTCCCGGCAGGCGCGGCAGCCGGAGTGCCCGGCGTCGGAGAGGCCCCATCTCCGGCATGGTAGTTGCGCGAGCCACCGTACATGTCGTCCGCCGTGCGGCCGATGATCAGGCCGAAGCGCGAGGTGTTGACGAGGCCTGTCGGGAAGGACACCGGAGGGGTCCGAGTGGAGGCCAGTGAGGGGCAGCGAGGAAGCCAGGGACCGAGTTAGAAAGGGAGCAGGAAAGGGGGGGGGGGGGGGGGGGGGGGGGGGGGAGGAAGAAGAAGAGGGAGTGTGCGCGCGCGGCTGAACGAACCAATGGTGGCAGCAATGGTCTTGAGGATGTCCTCGATCGGGGCGGTTTCCGCCACGCGGAACTCCTTGATGCTGTTCTCATTCAGCAGGACAGTGAGGATGCGCGAGTCGGGCCGGAATTCGACCACGGTGTTCTGCATACGCGCGCGCGACAAGGGGCGCGGAGAGCCATGGAGGTGTGGAAATCGTGGGGAGATCATGGGGACCGGGGACCGGGGGGGGGGGTATTGGAGACCGACGAGAGGGAGGCAAGGGGGAAGAGATAAAGGAAGGGGGAAAGAAATGTCAGTGGGGAGCGCGCGCCGGCGGGAAGTCCCCCAGGGGAGCGACGCACATTCCGGATCCCCGGGTACTCGGAGAAAGACTTCTTCGGGTCCAGGAAGTACCCGTAGTCCAGCTGGTCCTTCGGGGTGGCGTTGGCCTCGGCATGGGCAGCTGCCAGGGCGGCCCCCGACACACTGGACAGGGTGGAAAAGCGCCGGGTGTCCGGCATGCCGGCATCGTGGCGGGCCGCCGGGTTGGTCAAGTTCGGCACATAAAAGCAGTAGGCCAGGTCGTCCAGCTGGGCCGGCGAGGTGGTCATGCCGCCGCCCAGCAGGGCCGGGCCCAGCTTACGCTTCAGCTGGGAGATGGCATCGCCGATGATCTCGTCATTGTTGAAACGGATGGTCAGGAGGGACTGGGCTGCGGCACTCGCCGTGGCGCCCAGCATTGAAGACATGGACCCGAGCGAGGCGTTGCTGCCAGCCTGGCTGGCGAGGGTGGGTGCCGGGCCGGAGGCCGTCGGGCCGGCCCCGGCACCGGGGTTGACCGGCGTGAACACCTGGACCTTGAGGATGACCGTGTTGTCACCGGCGGCCTGAGCATCGCAGGGGAAGGTCGGGGGAGGGGGGGGGGGCAGCGTGAGTCATAACCCGATGGTCCGCATGAGCGGAAGAGGGAGAGGGAGGGGGGCAGGGGGGGG